GACATGCCAATGCGCGTGTAACCCATATGAATGACAAAATTAAAAAAGAAGTTATATTACTAAAAATGTATTTGAGTTATGAAAGTAATTAAACTCTTAAAAAATATAAATAGGATCTTATAAAATTAAAGAGACAAAAAGTATTTTTTGTATTCGAGTTCCAATTGAGAGTGAGGAATTGTGTTAGATTCGTCAAATCCACATTGCCGTTTTGAACATTGATGAGGGACCAAAATGCCTTTGCATTTTCTCAAATGCCTAATTCGCATTCATAATGCTTCCTTTTAGGGAGGCGCGCAGTGATTTTGATAAATTAAAAATGAAAAGATAAATAATTTTTAATATTTTACTGGTAAAATAAGCATTCATAAAGGACATTTCAACTTATCTTACTTCAAAGTGATCCTAGCAATTCATTGAGATACTTTTAGTATTATTTTAAAAAATGTAATGAATCAATCAATGTAAATAGATAACTTGCAATGCACTACATGAATTGGATTTGTATCTCAAAACATGATACTCATTTTTAGTTTTCATAGAGTAGTATGGATTGCTCACAAATAGTCAAATCTTTTGCAATTTTTTGGAAAAATATATTTTGAGTGTTTAAAGTTTGAAAATAGAAATAAGAGGAAGAGAAAAAAGAGAATAGTAACGGAATAAGTTGTTGGATGAAATTAGGCAAACAAAATATTCAAAGCGACTACTCAAATTCTTCAAATTTTACAAAAATGAAGAGAACATTGGTTAATATAATTAAGCTTGCTAATATGCTTTTTTGTAAACCAGTTATGGAATTACAAATGCTAGCTCTTAAATGGTGATACATGCATAGAAGGTTAGAAGAAGTTAATTTTCGAAAAATAAAAGTTAACCAATAAATCACAAATGACATAAATAATTCTTATTAGCTCATTATTTAGCAGCAAAAATACAAGGTAATTAACGTGTAAACTTTATGGTTTACACTAAATTAACGTGTTGTTATAAGTCATCATTTAATAGTATTTTCAATTAACCACATTCATGTTAGTGGAGAATTATTTAACATTTAATAGGAGGTTACTTTTTAATGATGAAGATCAAAGATTGCCAACTTTGTCTTTGTTTTAATTAAATATTATATATTTTTAACGAATTTTCGTAGGATGTATATTTACATTTTTATACAAAATTATATTTTAAAAAATATTATGTTGAAGGGCATTATAGTCACTCAACTTTATAAAGTTATTTTGGTAATTTATTTTTGAACTTTGGGCTTCACACTTATAATATAGTATGATATTAGCAAAATTATGATGTGTTAAAGTGTATGGACCTATGGAAGTCAAACAATCGTAGGAAGTCGAGACTGGAGAGTAGGGATGGGCATCGGTCAGTTCGGTTCGGTTATGAATATTATCGGTTTAGCATATCGGTTAACGGTTTACAAATATGATAAACCGATAACCAAACTGATAAGATATTAGTTATCGGTTATCGTTCACTATCGGTTCGGTTATCGGTTTACCGATAAGATAACTCAATCTAGAGTTAAGCAAAAAAGAGAAGCCAAATATTCACTCGAGTTAAGCAAAAAAGAGAAGAATTCACATATAGTATACTATCCAATTCTGCGTTCTAGCCACAACTATATTTGAAGCATATTTCATTTTGACAAATTCATGACTTGTGCAGTCTCAAAAATTGATACTGCAACTCCACAAACATTCCATCTCCAATTCACTGGAAATATTAGTTAACAGGAACATAAATTACAACCTTTGGTTTCCTGCCAAACCATAATCAAGAGATCAATGTCATTTTCCAGAGTCCAATTGTAGCAAGAGCAACAAGAGTACTAGTAATTCAACAGTTGTCCAAACACAACTGAAATAGTGTTAATTCTTCAACAACAGTTGTCCAAATACATTGATAATAATACAAAGTAGTAAAAATTTTACCTTAAAATTAACCAGTACAAACATAGTACTAAAACATGAGCACAAAATAAAGAATCGAAAACAATCAAAAATCCTATACTTTTAATATCGGACTCTACTGCAAAACTCAAAAGAAAGGAACGAAATTTGTTCTTAACGAAGAAGTAATTTTGGAATACAAACTTACGCTAAGATTCTAAGAATGTGGTTGTACTTTGAATTTTGAAGAAGAATTGTTCAAGAATTGAATCAGAGTCTGAAGAGTGAACTGGAAACTTCAATCTTGAATGTGACTGGGAAAATTGGGAGCAAAAGAGAGAATGAAGCCCTATATGTATTTATATACTTAAGTGTAAAATCCTAATTTTATTACATGTTATTGGGTTATCGGTTAATCCGTTAAGAAATTGGGCAAACCGTGGCCCGAACCGATAATCCAATAGTGAAAAAATACAAAATCGTTACCGAACAGTTAACCCAATAACCCGATATCGATACCCCAATAAGCGCTTTTCGGTTCGGGCTATCGATTATACCCGATATATACCCAGCCCTACTGGAGAGTAAATAGTGACGCCTAAGGTTGATAATTTCCTTTTTCTTTTCTATTATAGAGTACTCTTTTTTGTGACTGTAGTTCTTTTATTATTCTTGGCTTCCTGCCTCTATCAAACATTATTGACTCGAGTGTTTGAATGAACCCCAATTTAATAGGACGTGTTGCTAACCAGTGTTTTAAAAGACGTTTTCGGGGTGAGTCCTGAGGCGAGGCGTATCAAAAACGCCCTAAGGCGATGGTGTGTGACGAAAATCCCAAGAGACGTACGCCCAGCAATTTGGGAAGTACGCCTGGGCGTTTGAGGCGTGTTTTTTAGTGAGGGTAAGCCCCAGAGACTTTTTCAAATTAAAACAAAATTTGTTGAATAAGTCCTTCATATAATACCTAATTCTCAAAAGCCAGCTTGGTAATTGCTCAAAAGTATTAAAAAGGAACTGAAATATATTAAATTTAAAAGTCAAGATCTTTTTTATTGATTGAAGCCCTAATTTATGATCTTTCCTAGTTCTTTATCTTGTCCATTAATCTGCTAATATCTCCCAAAAGCAACGAATATTCAATTTTTTTAATAAAAATATAAAGAGAACTCCATTCTCCTTCATATCAGCAAGTTCAAAATTCAAATTGCATGTTAGTCATCCTTTTTGTTCCTCAATGTAGAAAACTTTATTATTTTCGACTCAAGTTATTTGTGCTTGTAAGTAGCATATAATATACTGTTTTGACTAATTTTTTAAGGGGATGGAGTGCGCGCGCGCGCGCGCACACACACACACACATATATATAGTTTTCTTCAATTTTTATGCAATTTTACCTGTTTATAAATATTTATTGTAATTATATTATTTTATAAAATATTAAAAATTAAATACCTATGGGGCTTACGTCCCGTGCCTCGGGACTTACGCCTCGTTGAGGCATATGTAAAACGCTTCGCCTTAGACTCACGCGTTTTAAAAACCTGTTGCTAACGCTATTCTTATGTATTGCAAGGAAAAATTAATTTTAATTTATTAATTTTCACCAAATGAAAATTTCCTAAATATTTAAGTTAGAGTCCTGATGTTATTTTATCCAAAAAAAAAAAATGCCTAAATCATTTTCTGCCAAAACCAAATTCGAGTACCCATTGTTATATTCAAAAAGAAACTATTCTATCCATCTCAAATTATTTGTTGTATTTCTCTTTTACACGGTTCTTAAGGAATACTTATTAATTAATAGAATATTTTTATGATATTTTATCTTTATTTATGTCTTAAGATATAATCTCTCTTTATTGAATATTTATTCTATTTATGTGTCATCTCTCCATCTTCAAGAACAATTACTATTAAGGGTAAAATGAAAAAAAAATTAGGTTTGTCTTGAACTTCTAAAATGACAAATAATATTAAGATAATTATTTTTAGAATCACGACAGATAATTTGAGATGGCGAGAGTAAATCGAATAACGAACTAAAATATCAAGTTCTTTAATTACAAATGCCCACACTTCTGAAAAAGAAATGCTTACTACTCCATCCGTCTCAAATTATCTATCGTGGTTTCTAAACGTAGTTGTCTCAAATTATTTGTCATTTTAGATGTTCAAGAGTAAATTAATTATTTTCCTATTCTACCCTTAATATTAATTTTCCCCGAAGAGTATAAATACTTTAATTATGAGTAAATATTAAATGAAGAGAAATTATACCTTAAAATATAAATAAGGTTAAAAATATTTAAAAAAATTAGTTGATACTCCCTTCGTTCACTTTTACCTGGCACGTTTTGACTTTTGACGCCCCTTAAGAAATAATAAATGAAGTGCATAATTTACCATGATCCCCATATTAATTGATGCATATTTTATTGATTTGAGAAAATAATTTTTTTTGAGTAATAAATACCGTGGGTATAGCAGAATTTTTTTTTTGTCTTCTCTTGATATGCGTAAAGTGTCAAGTAAAATAAAAATCTATTTTTAGTATACAAGCCAAGTAAAAGTGAACGAAGAAAATACTTTTTCAGACGACATATAAAAGAGAAACACATGGAGATAATATGAGACGGAGTTCATAGGTCTTGCCTAGGGGGGACAAACGGGGGGGGGGGGGGGTATCGGATATGAGCGAGTCAAAACGGGTAATTTAAAAAAACGGATAAATTATCCGAGCCAACCCGTATTTGAGACGGATAAACTTGAAGAACCCCAATTTGAGGCTTTACAAATGTAACAGTTAAATACATTAGTTATCCATTGGTTATCCATTTGGTTAACCATTTTCTAAGTGGATAATATGGTTCTTTATCCATATTCGACGCGTTTTTAAACGATTCATTATCCAACCCATTTTTTGATGGATAATATGGGTGGATAAGTATTTTCTTTTAACCATTTTGCCACCTCTAGTCTTGCACATGGTGCTTGCACAGTTGTACCAAGCAAATCTTATTTTGTCTTGCTATGCGCACAAAAAAAGAAAAAAAAAAACTTGGACTTCCCCGAGCAATAACCAGTCATTCTACTTTTTCCACCTTAAAACCACTCGTTTTCTTTTTCTTCAGATATTCTCGTTTGCTTATCTCCAAAGCTAACCGTTACACTCTTAGACATAGGTGAGAAAGAGGCGGGCAAACAAATGGCTCCGAAAAACTTGTCATTCAAGGTTTGTTTTTCACCCACTGATGAACTGCCTTCATTTTTTCTCAAAGCTTTTGAGGTTTAACAATTAACACAATGCTCTGTTATTATCTGAAAGTTAATGCTTCATGTTTGTTTCCTACAATTCTATGATATACTGAATGTAGAAGTAAATGACTAATGGTTCCATATGTTGAAAGATAATCCTGGGTTCTTCCTCCATGGCACGTCGGAAAATTCTAGCTGACATGGGTTATGATTTTACAGTTATGGTACGTCCAATTTTGCTTTTAAAAGTTTCTGTATTTTCGCTACAACTCGAATTTTATGGTCGCTTTAGGTTTTGGACCCGGTCTAAGTTTCCTAAAAAGGGCTTGTCTTTTCTTGTTGATTTTGACTTAAAATCAAATTATTTTGTGGACTAGACTGCTGATATTGATGAAAAGAGCATTAGGAAGGATAATGCGGAGGAATTAGTGGTAGCTCTAGCAGAGGCAAAGGTATGCTACCTCCTTTCTTGAATTATTTGGACATTTTTCATGTCTTCTTCAGTTAATTTCACTAATTCACTAATGCCATAACCTATTTTTAGCTAGAATAGGTTAGAACATTGGTCGAAATTTATTGTTATGCAAGTAATTTGAAATTGAAAGGAAGATCTTTCTAGTGTATCTGGTAGAATTGTTCTTTTAAGTACAGAAATCACTCTACGTATAACGGCCAGGAGTTATCCTATTGCAGTTATGTGATGAGTTCTATTAGTAACTGTGTAGCATATAATATCAATAAGAAGGTCAAATCCAAGATTCTGGTGATTGGATGAGATTTATTCTTGAGTGTCCCCTTGACATCTTTGGTGTCCCCGTGAAATATGGCCCCGTTTGGCCATGAGTTTTCCCAAAATAAATTTGGGATTTATTTTCAAAACTCATGTTTGGCCATAAATTTTGCTCATATTTTGGCCAAATCCCAAATCCCAAATTTCAAATCCCAAAATCAGCTACCAATCCCAAAACTTGAGGAATTATATACATGTTTTTCCAAAATAAAGTTGGAAAATATGTTTTGAAATCGTATGTCCAAACACATTTTCATCTTCAAACCAAACTTCACCCAAATCAGATTTTTCAAAATAAATTTGGGATCTATGGCCAAACGCTAGCTTAATCACTTCGCCCATCAATTATTTGAGTTATCAAATTGCCATTTGATGGTTGGGGACTATCAATAAATGGGTACTTCTCTTCTGTTGGCATTCGACTGATTCTGAGTAGTTCGGCTCACTATAATCAATTCATTTCCTTTCCTTCCATTCCATGACACTCTAGCATGCCATATAAATTGAGATGAGTGCGTAATATGTAATACATTGATATCATGTTCCAGTACTGTAAGAACAAGTCTTATGTTTGCTTACTGGTCTTTTCTTCTTAGGCAGATGCTATTATGTCAAGGCTTGAAACAACTGATCATTTGGAGGAAAATACTCATCCCACTCTGTTGATTACTGCAGACACAGTATGTTTATTTCTCTACATTGCTAGGAATACTTCAAGTACCATGGTCTTGTTAATGACATGCAGTTCAAATTATCTAGCACAAAATTAAGCCGTATTCATAGGTATTTTAGTAATTGAATGAATTGAAGGCTCGCCCTTTTAATGCTATTTTTCATTTGCTAGTTGGAGATATCCACACATTTTAGCAATAAACAAATAATAGCATTACATTATTTTACTAAGTAACTATGTTTAGGAGAAGTCTGGAAAAAGTGTTGACATTAGCTTGATGTAAATTCTTTTGTAAGATAAATGTTGCGAGCAGCTGATGCATATAGTAATGCCATTTTAGATTGACGTATATTGTGTGGTTAGCTAGTTTTTTTGTCTTTTGCTTTGGTCTCAAGATTCATTTAAAATTGGATGCTCCAGGCTTGCTCCGTGATGGGCAATCTTAATCAATACCACTGTTAAAACTTAAAAAGTATATTGCAAAAATTAGAGTGCTTGGGCCGTCTAATGAATTTTTTCTTGGATGAAAATAGATCTTTTTGGCTATATCTTACCTACATCTATTGGTATCGAGGTGGCGGTGTACCAAGGAATTATTAGAGAAAAGCCATCAAGTAAGGAAGAAGCACGCCAATTCATCAAAAGTATGGCTGCATTTGTGGTTGGCAGTTTCATCCAGTATCTTTAGTATTACTCTTGTTTTGCCTTATTTTTGGATTTTAGTATTACCTAATGTTGCTTCTGCTCCGTTTGTTACTATCTCGTTGTTGGTACTGCTTCTTTTCCATGAAATCTTCACTGCTATATTTCATTTTCTTTAATGTTGTGATTATGCTTGCATGAGCCGAGGGTCTATCAGAAACAACCTCTCTACCTGCACAAGGTAAGGGTAAGGTCTGCGTACGCATTACTCTCCCCGGAGCCCACTTGTGGGAATACACTAGTTATGTTGTTGTTGTTGTAGTTTCATCCAGTGTCTCAGCTGGTCAGGTTGTTCTTTTTCTTTACTAGCATTATTACCATTCTTGTTGTTATGAATTGCAGGCTACTCTGGTGGTCAAGCCACGGTTGTGGGATCTGTTGTGGTGACCAACCTCACAAAGGGGATAAGAAAAGGAGCTTGGGAAAGGTCAGAGGTATATCTTTTTCTCCAAGTGAAGTAATTTCTTTTGTTGGAGACTTTTGAAGTACAAATACGCATTTATACAGTACATTCTTGCTTAAATTGATATGTTCCAATGGTGACGTAGGCTTTGCTGCATCTGATGCATAAGTGTGTGTGATGTGCGAGCAAGGATTAAGGCGATGTGCCATTTTGAAGCTATTCAGAAATCTAACTATAGATATTAAATAAGTATATTAATGCTTATCCCAGGCGAAAAGAGTGAATGTTGATGGAAACTCGTTAATTAAAGCCCATCAGCATTAACTCTCTTCACCCATGAATCTGTTTCCCTATATATACTTAACTTGGATGAAGACTTCCTTTTACTGACCATCCCAGTTTATAAGGATGCCCAAAATGCTTCCGTTTTTATGTGCTTATTGGAACGCCAATACAATCGTCTCACAGCTCCCGGAATTGTTAGTTTGCTAGTTTTATGTTCTACATGCCCCTCCTTTTATTACTGTTGTGAACAGGTTCTTTCTTGATGGTGGGATGCAACATGATTTTGCTCACAGAACTTCTTGCTGACTTTGTTGCACATAATATGATTAGTTAACACGGAGTGTACTGTTCTGCTGCTTAAGTGCAGGTATATTTCCATGAGATACCTGATGAGGTCATTGATAGCCTGGTAAATATTACAGTGTCCTTAAATAAGGGATGTTCTTTACCTCCGACATTAACTTCTAGTGCTAATTGTGTAGATTGAGGAAGGAATAATACTTAATGTTGCTGGTGGTTTAATGCTTGAACATCCACTGACGTTGCCCTTTGTTGATACTGTGGTTCGTCTCTCTCTCTCTCTCTCTCTCTCTCTCTCTCTCTCTCTCTCTCTCTCTCTCTCTCTCTCTCTCTCGTATAGTATATATTTAACTTTTGATGGGAGTGGTATATGGTTGTCCCTGAGCAATAAATTTGACATGATTCTATGTCACTCTCTCGAGGTTTCAATTATCTTACAGACTTCAAAACTATTCTGGTGGACATTAATTCTCTGTCTCCTTTTGAGGAATAGGAAATATCAAACAGAATGCATAATCATCAACAGCTCAATATCCCTTTAACATTTCTATGTATAAGCGTACAAGTGGACAGCTTATTGGTGATCTTGCCTCGGTCGACAACAGGGAAAAGAATTCTATGCTTTCCACAATCTGTTGATTATACTCTTTCTTCCCATTTCTCTACAGATTGGAACTGCTGATCATGTCATGGGACTCCCAAGAAGTCTCACTGAAAAGCTTATTCAAGAAGCACTCTAGCTGCTGGGAGCCCACCAAATGAATATCCTTACGATCACTCTTAGTCTTCCTAAAACTCACTCTTTGCAAAAGATTACTCTCTCTAGATTTTTGAATTTATAAAATTGTCTTTCTGAAGTGAAGGTTTGGAACATGCCAAAAGGAAAAACTTGCTTCCATCCCATAAAGAAAGTTACTTCGCAAATATCGTCTTTTTCACTTGCTTTATTGAACATATGGATGTTGTAGTTAATCTTTAATACTCAAAATATTACTAAATTATTATTCTTATGCCTTATATTACTAATTATAGGATTGTACCCTAGTTCTTGATATGGCAGAAATTTTCCTTGATGAAATTAGTTTTAGTGTTTGTTTATCTTGAATTTCGAAATATATTTCCTCCACGGAAAATATTCTCCACCAAAGGGTGTGTTTGGTATGGAGGAAAATATTTTTCGAAAAATATTTTTCAATTTTCTCATGTTTGGTTGGCTTAAATGTCTTGGAAAATATTTTCCTCATAAACTCATTTTCCTCCAATTGGAGGAAAATATTTTCTCTATCAAAAGAAGAGAAAACATTTTCCAAAACTATTTTTCAACCTTCTCCATCCTATTGCACATCCTCACCACTCATTTCCCATGAAAATATTTCTAGAAAAACATTTTTCTTCGTACCAAATACACCCACAGTGGAAAATCATTTGAGTATCCTACTACTGAAAAAATCACCAGAACACTGTCCATATATCTTCCCTATATCTTATACAACTTCTTGTACAATTACCATATTTCACTTAATTTTACATCTAACCAGACACTGGGAAACGATTTAAGATGATATCAGAAGTTAAAATATTGTTCTGAAAACACATATTCCTTCAAGCCAGTTGCCTAGTGAGATAATTCAATAGATTGTGAATTGGGATGACCCCTAATCAAATGAAGAAGATAGAGCAGCAAAGAGAAGAAGAAATAAGAGAGAAGAAAGAGAGCGTGTGTTTGTTATTTCCGTTAGTGTGTATTGTACATTTACATGTGTATATATAAAGTATCTACTCCTAACTAATTTAGCTTAGAGTATAAGGAAATGATTAATGTACCATTCTCAACACTCCCCCTCAAGCTAGGTAGCGAAAAAATATTAAGAACTCCTAGCTTGGAGCAGAGGTACTCATGTTGAACTTTATTGAGACCTTTGGTTAAGATGTCAACTGGTTATCTCTTGAAGAAATGTACTTTGTTGCAACTACTTCTTGGACTATTTTTCCTCTTATAAAGTGACAATCGATTTCAATGTGTTTAGTCCTTTCGTGATAAACGGGATTTGCTGCTATTTGCATAGCAGCTTTACTGTCACTGAAAAGATCAACTGGTGTCTTCACTTCAATACCAAATTTCCTTAAGCAATCCCAATGACCAAATCATTTCTGCAACTGTAGCAACAATACTTTTGCACTCAGCTTCCTCTGAGCTTCTTGAGACAGTTGTCTGTTTCTTTGATTTCCATCAAATTAGAGACTCTCCAAGTTTAATTAAGTAGCCTGTTATAGACTTTCTGGACTGTGGGCATGAAGCCCAATCTGCATCACAATATGCAGATTGCTGGACAGAAGAATTCCTTGCCCATGTTGATTCTTTAAATATTTCACAATTCTACTGCTGCTTCCAAATGAGACTTTTTAGGCTGCTGTAGGAATTGACTTAAGTTTTGTACACTGAATCATACATCTGGTCTTGTCATAGTTAGATACAGAAGTTTCCCAATTAACCTTTGACAAATGCTTGGATCAGGAAGTAAATCATCTTCTGACTTGCTTGTTCCTTTAACACATACTCTTTTGTAGTTAACTTGACATTGTTGTCCATAGGTGTTATAACTGGCCTTGCAGCACTTAGGCCAGTTTCAGAGATAAGTTCTAGTGTGTACTTCCTTTGATGCATTAAGATCCCTTGTTTGGATCTTGCAAACTCAATACCTAGGAAGTATTTTAACTCACCTAAATCCTTCATTTTAAAGGTTTGTTGTAGTGTAGTTTTTGTGTCTTCAATTAGCTTTAGACTGTCACCTGTAATCAGCATGTCATCAACATATACAAGAACTATTATTGTACCTTCAGTTGTCTTCTAAATAAACAAAGAGTGGTCATATTGACTTTGTTGGAATTGAAAACTCAGTAAAGCTTTTGTTAGTTTGACATTCCATTGTCTTGGGGCTTGTTTTAGCCCATATAAGGATTTTATGACTCTGCACACTGGATTTTTCTCCCCCCTGATTCTTAAATCCTTGTAGCAATTGCATATATATTTCATCATATAAATCCCTTGAAGAAAGTCATTGTATACATCCATTTATGTCATTGTTTACCAGCTGCAATAGACAAAACAATCCTGATAGTTTTCAGTTTCACAACTGGTGAGAATGTTTCTTGATAGTCAATGCCTTCCTTTTGGCTATACCATTTTGTCACTAGCCTAGCCTTAAATCTTTCAACTTCTTCTGAAGCTTTGTATATGATCTTGTAAATCCACTTACATGCTATAGGAATTTTGCCCTCAAGTAATGAGACTATGTCCCATGTATGGTTGCTTTCTAAGGCTTCAATTTCTGCCCTCATTGCATCGACCCACCTGGGGTCTTTAACAGCTTCAAAAAAAGTTTGTAGGTTCAGTAGCAGATGAGGAGGCTGCTATATATGCTTGGTATGAAGGAGAGACATAGTTGTAAGTGATATAATTAGACACAACATAAGGAACTTCAGTATGTATGTTTAGAGGAACGAAGTCATTCGTCCAAATAAGTGGCCGTTTTTCTCGACCTGACCTCCTAATTCCACCTTCTGCAAGTTAATTTTGATTCACCAGAGATTCAGTTATTTCGGCATCTTCAGCTTGGTGTTGGTTTACTAGAGGTTCAGAAAGGTGTTGATCATTTATAAGAGGTTGAGACTCATCTAGTTCTATTTGAAACTCATTGATCTGATCCATATCAGTACTCTGTACTTCTAGAGGTTCAATTGCTTCAGATTGAGTTTTTAGTGTATGAGTAGGGCACTCAGTAGTAGAGGTTCTGTCTCCAGATCTTATTAGTTGACCTTTAGAAGTATTATTTAAGTCATATGACATTCTGTCAGGAATAGAATTCTGGAATATAGGTGGTATGACCTTTTGTTTTACTTTGAATGGAAATACATCTTCTTTAAAGATAACATCTCTATTGACAAAGAAGATTCTGTTAGTGGGATCATAAATTAGATATCCTTTTTGTGTTTCTGCATATCCCATATGGACTGCTTGTCTAGTTCTTGTCATTAATTTGTCATATTGGTGAACTATCTTTGCATAGCATAGGCATCCTAGAACCTTCATGCGATTATAGGATGGTCTTCTTCTGTACAACTTCTCATAGGGTGACTGAATATTGATCACATTGCTAGGCATTTGTGACGACCCGACCCGTCTTCACGTGAGTTACCGCCCCGTTTCCCCCATGTTATGCTTCTTCATGTTTCATTATCAGTATTTGATGTGTTAGAGTGGGTTTGGAATGGTTTTGATAAGAAATGAGACACTTAGTCTCTTTTAAGAAGGCTTAAGTTGGAAAAGTCAACCGGATGTTGACTTTTGTGTTAGAGGGCTCGAATTTGAATTCCGATGATTTGGTTAGCTTCAGGGGATGATTTGTGACTTAGGAGTGCGATCGGAATTGATTTTGGAGGTTCGGTGTATAATTAGGCTTGAATTGGCGAAGTTAGTATTTTGGCGAATTCCGGTTGGTAGGTGAGATTTTGATCCGGGGGTCGGAATGAGATTCCGAGAGTTGCTGTAGCTTCGTTAGGTGATGTTGGATGTGTGTGCAAAATTTCAGGTCATTCGGAGGTGTTTTGGTTGGGTTTCTGATCGAATGCATGTTTCAGAAGTTTTAGAAGAACTTAGGCATGAATTCGATGAGAAATGATGGTTTTAGTATTGTTTGAGATGTTTTAATGATTGGAGCAAGTTTGAATAAGGTATTGGATCATGTTTGTATTTTTGGTTGAGGTCCCGAGGGCCTCGGGGTGATTTCGGATGGCTAACGGGAAGTGTTGAACTTAGGAGATTGCAGAACCTGTGCTGCTTCTGGTATTTTCGCTCCTGCGGAAATGGGACCGCAGAAGCGGTACCGCAGAAGCAAGTCAAGAACCGTAGAAGCGACAGGCATCGCAGGTGCGGAGATGCTGACCGCATCTGCAGAGTCGCGGATACGACAGTAGGACTGCAGATGCCGAATTTTGGAAGGCTAAAGGAAACCGCACCTGCGTAAAAGGAATCGCAGATGCGAGACGGAAGAAGCGGTCTAGTAACCGCAGAAGCGGTCTTGTACGCAGAAGCGGCTCCCCATCGCAAAAGCGGAAGTCGCAGATGCGGCTATGTAGCCGCAGATGCGGAAATAACTGGTCAGAAAGGGTTTTAATTCCCTTCGCGAAATATTTACAGAACACATATTTTGACTTCGGACTTGGGGTGTTTTTGAGCGATTTTGAAGAGGAAATTCAAGGACTTCGATCAGGTAAGCATTCTTGGACTTAGAACACAATTTTATCATGCAAAAACATGAAATTTCACTGAAAATTTAAGGAAATAAGGTCAAAAATGGTGGTTTAGGGCTTGAAACCTAAGAGAACAAAAATGAGAATTTGAAGGGCCATTTGGACTCGGATTGTGGTAAATTTGATATGTATAGACTCGTGGCGAGACGAGGAATCCGGTGATGTGAATTTTGTAATTTTTAGAGACGTGGGCCCGGGGCTCGGGTTTTGCCAACTTCGTGATTTTCGATGTTTTTCGAGTCTTTTCAATTGGGTTATATTCCCTTAGCATATTGTGACGTATTCGTTGTGGTTTTGGTCAGATTCGACGCACGAAGAGGTTAATTCGAAAGGCAAGGGCATAGCAAGCTAGGACTTTGGCCGGCTTGAGGTTAGTAATAAATGTAAATGCTGTGTTGAGGGTTCGAAACCCCGAATTTGCATAACGTAGTGCTATGGCACGCCGGATAACGGGCGTGGGGTAGAGCACCGTCAGGGATTGCGATTCGGTCTGTCCCGCTTAATATTGATACCTATTTGATTGTAGAATTGTAATATCCTTATAAAAATGGGTTAATTGTCATAATTGGGCTTCGTGCCAACTACTTGAATCCTTCAGGGATTATTTTAATGGTTTCTTACCATTTCTACATATCATTGAACTCATTCCTAGAATTTAATGCTGTTTTGCAAACTCAGCCACTTTTCTCAAACTAGGAACTTAATTAGTATTTTTTTTAAATGGAGTTTGGATT